TTTGGAATGAGAGTTCCAAGCTCTTTAATACGGTCATTGATATTGAAACGTTTTCTCCGCCTCAACTGCATTTTGATAAAAAAGAGAAAAAAAAATACATGGCGAGGTCATAAGTCCCAAAATGTTATCCAACCAAAAGTATTTCTATTTGTGAAGCATGCAACTCATTAATCTCAAAAAGGGGAACATTTTCAGCATTAAAAAACTAATTAAAGAAAAACATCCCCATTATTCATAGTTTTAAGACAAGAAATAGACAGATTTACATGAAGGTTCAAAGGTTTCATGAGGATGGTTATACTGCAGTTCTTTTAGACGAGGCTATATTTCAAAAATTGTTACATGAAGAGGCATTTTTGAGTAGAGGTTGATAACATAGCTATTTTACCTAATTTTGGGATGCTGAATCCGAAAATGATGGTTACCAAGCTGGATTTTTAGTGTACATGTAAATATGCATAATTTGCATAAATCTTTAACAATTGTCGTGTAATATAATTGTTCCCATATTTAGGTATATTTTTTTTATTTTGTTATTTTTTGAAAAGTGTATTTTGGTGATTCTACTTACACTTCCTGACTTCAATAACATTTTCCAAAGCATACAAGTGACTGGATAATTATGAGGACATAGTAACGATCCAATTGGCTACTATTATACCCTAAAGTTGCGTGCATTTACCTTGTCTCCTTATATCATCCAGTAGTCTTGCCAACCTCAGTATCAATGAATTTCAAATTCACCATGTTGCTTACTGGTACAGTTACCCTATTAACAACCTTATGGGATATCATGTGAACAAAGATAACATTGTGATATAAAACGGGGAGAAAACGGAGTGGCGAAATTGGGCTAAAAAGTAGTTGAAGGGTTGCCTAACGTGGGAGACTTGGACAAGTTCAAGGAAATTTCCAAAAATTATTGGTAAGAAAACGTTTTGACATTGACATAATTATTGTAAGCATCAATAATCTTTAATTTTGGGGATTTCCATGAAGTTGTTCAAGTCCGCCACGTTAGGCAAACCTTTGCCTAATTTTTAGCCCAATTTTCTCACCTCATTTCCCCTGTTTTCCTTTTTGGCCTAAATATCAAGATGTTATCATTTTTGACATAATGTCCCATTTATTTTTGCTAGGGCAACAATGCTAGTAAGTAACTTTGTGAATTTGAAGCTCATCAATACTGACATTTGGCGAGACTACTTGAAGATATTTGAGGAAAAGTAAATGTGCGCAACCTTAGGGTATAATAGTAGCCATTTTGGATTGTTTCTATGCCCTCATACTTATTCAGTCACTTGTATGCTATAGAAAATGTAATTGAAGTAAGGAAGTGTAAGTATAATCACCAAAATAAACTTTTCAAAAATTAAATAACACAAAATATACCCAAATATGGGAACAAATATATTACACGACAGGTATTAAAGATTTATGCAAATTAGGCATATTTTCAATATAAAATCCAGCTTGGTAACCATCATTTTTGGATTAAGCACCCCCGAATCAGGTAAAATAGCTACAGTATGTTACCAACTTCAACTAAAAAAAATGCCTTTTGTTGCCCTAAAATGAGCCTTTTTTAAAAATATCGCCTAGACTATTTACAGGAATCAGGATTCTTGTACAATCCTTTTGTACCATTATCACTCACACTTTTTTGTGGGTCAAACAAGAAAAAAAGAAGCAAAATACATGTATGTCAATAAGACAACATGTGTACTTACTCATATTGTGGTTGTCTTTCTTCTGCCTTTCTTTAGCAAAGGCCCGAACATGATCTTCTGAAATTGGTTCTTGTTTTATTTTGTTGAGGTCAGCAGGACATGAGACAGACTGAGTAGGAACTGCCACTGGCGTCATACCACCATTAGGGCTCAACTGGTCTAGGTATGTATGTACCGGCATCTGAACACATTTTTTAAAAAGTCAGGTAAAATAGGAAAAGATAGAGTTATTAGAGATTAACCCTAACTCCCTAGAGGGTGTGCAAAATCATAGTAAAATTGGTGGATTCAGGACTGTCAGGGATATAGTTTTTTACGTACATGTACATGTATGTATGTACTTGTTACAAGGAAGAGTTTTGCCAGTTGTTAATGTAGTCTGCCATAGAAATATCCTAAGCTAGAAGAAACCTTAACCGAGACGGAAGATTGAGAACTGCATCACCACATTTGTGGAGCAAATAGAATTCTTCAGCAAGAAAATATGCACAGGGTATCATAATAGAATGCGAACTAAACTTTGAGATATTCTCTCAAAATGTTTAAAACATCAATATTGTAACTAATTTGAAATTCCTGATATCAATAGAGAATTTCACTGATATGATTTCAAGGGGTTGAAGGTTGCATAGGCTCAAGACTTTGGACCAAAATGTGCACAAATAAACTTCTTTTGTAAAAGACTGTTAACTTCTTACCGTTGCTGGCACCATACCAGACTCTTGAAAGTACTGAGTCAGAGCATCCTCCCCTATACTTGATTCCAAACTTATCACTTCATCTAAAATGTCATCCACCTTCAACAAAGAGATATGAATATTGGAACATTTACACGTCGTGTACCGTTACTTGTCCCTTGTGCAAGGTAAATCCACACATGTATTGGACAAAGATGTATATAAGTGTTGCAATAGGTCAGAAAGTATCTGGAATATTCAGAAACTTTCCACGAAAAATTGGGAATTATGAGGGATTGGGGAATCATAATATGTCAGAAATTTTGAGAATATTCAGAAATGTTCATATGTAGCTAAAAATTGTATGGCAAAATAAAAACTAGTTCTGCTACCCTAAATTTTTTTTTGGGGGGGGGGGGGGGAAATGAGGAAAAAACCCAAAACCATCCATTACTACCTTGTACCCTTTACTACACGCAGAGACCTTCATATGATCGTAAACACACAAAATTTCCCAAGACAAATTATTCCCTATACCTCCCTACCCTATTTTCAAATGCCATGTAATCGGAAGCAGAAGTGGTTTTTTTCCCTTACTTTTAAATGATTTGTACTTTTTTTATAAGTACATGTATTAACTTTCATAATATACACTTTCAATATAAATGGAAGAGCCTTAATATACATACTTGAAGCTACCTGGCCTGAAGCATCCAGATGCAACCAACATGTACGTACATTGTATGCGTATACTATGCACAACTGCACATGATGTTTACTGGGCAAGATGTGTAAGATGTAGGCCTAATAAGATGTTAATGGAGATTTTTGTCAGCAAATCTTGCTACATGCTCTGGGGACGAGCCTTAACACCCTAGGGGGTGTGCAAAATCATATTAGAATTGGAGCATTCAGGACTGTTAGGGTTACTCCAATTTTAAGGTCAGCCATGTATCTGGGGCATACACCAACACTTCAGTTGCAACTGGCCATGTTGATAACTAAGGCCTTATATGAATGGTCTTGCAGGAACACAGTGTGGAATACTCAGGGATTTTGGGACAAGCTTAGCATGACTGATTTTATTGTACATATATTTGAAAGCACCTGAAGTTAATGTACCTCTTGAGTTGTTGACATAGGGCTGTTGGGTAGACTAGACATTGAGCCACTTGGCTTACGAGATGGTGAGTTAGATGATGGACTCGGGTTTAGCAGGTGAGGAGACATCCTTGTTTGTGATGCAGAGGCAGAAAGATACTGCTCCACTTGCCGTTTTTGAGATTGCTGGATGTAATATCTTGTAGGGTTCTCAAGCTTGGTGGTCACCTAAAAACATTAACATACAAGAAAACAACTTTATATACACGTGTGAAGGCAATGAATCATTGCTGTTATCTAAACTGTGAATGCATACATCAACTAAGGAATGCTTGCATGTGTGTATCAATAATACATCATCATACAGCAATTTTAATCCTTTTGTGACTGACATATCTGATAGATGCCTTAATTCATTGTGTTACACCTGTACTTATGCCATTCATAACATTTCTCACAACCCAGCCTCAGGCAAAGCTGTGCAATGTAAATGATGTATTTCATGATAAACATGTAAATTGGAAATGCGGCTGGGCATGGATAAAGAATGATCATAGCTATTTGTGTAAACTTACTAGAAAAAAAGGTTGTTGAATTTACTTCAGCCGCCATTTTGAAAAAAAAGTTTTGTCCAACTTTTTGGAATTGGGATAACATTCAGCATTCCATTTTAACAGCCTTGGTCAAGGCTTTCATCATTATGCGTCCATATGGTATTCATATTTGGAATCAGTCATTTTCTTATTGGTCGATCATTGCATGGAAACGATAACGATAACACAGCACTTATGCACACAAAAAATGGTTTCTGAAACGTCTGCAAAAAGGCGATACAATGTAGCTGCAAATAATTTGATGACGTCGAGATTTACAAAGTTGTGATTAGAAATCTAGAGCAGGGTTCGAAATTAGCATTTTTCCTTTTCAAGGGGCCCTGAAGCGCCACCAGGGGTAAACTTTTAGGCTCTATACACATTTTACATGTACATGTATGCACATTGTTGTTTGGACCAAGGCGTTCAATCGGATCCAAATGATTTGCATAAAGTGGCCGCATGAGGTCGCTGTTCCGCACTGTACTTTTACGTCAAGCGTCAGTCGTTGTCAAGAAAAGCCAATCCGATTACGTACTAAGACGCTGTAACAGAGCATTAAAATTTGTGAACCCAAAAAACATGGCCTTTGAACGTTGTGTTTCTCAGAAAATATGCTCAGTATGATTAAAATGTTACATAACATGAAGAAGAAATTCTAAGCTGCATGTCAGTGAAAAAAATCGCCGTCATCAATGCTGAAATGTCAATACTGGTTACTGTCAAAGCTCTGGAAGAAATCGTTAGAAAGCTTCCCCAAATGTATATATTTATCCAAATTTCTAGGAATTTACCCAAGTTGTTATTTCAGGAGTAGTTGAACACTTACTTAATCTGAGTATATTCCGAATTTCAGCTTAATCTGTTGTTGCGGACGCTAGTGTTACACCTGGAACCATCGCCAAGGAAAATTTCGTAGGCGCTACGGCTGACCGATTTCGACCCGGCACACAATGAGGAAGGGCATATTAACATATTCACTAGCGTCACTCGGCGTGGCATGGCATGGGTCTTGGTATCGACCGATGGAAGCCAGCAAAAAGGGTGATATTTGTTAATTAACAACTCATGAAGGAGGCTTTTCTGCAATCGTTTACTGCACACCATAATGGATAGGAATCTTATTAATATTCGTGAGGCTTGAAAAGATATTGCGGAAGCCAGGCCTATTTTTCCAATTTCAACAAAAAGTAATGAACAAATCACCACGATTTTAGCACATACGTGGATCATTATAGGGGAAATAAATCCTGAAAGTTGCATGTAGATACGGTCTTCCAAACGGGAATAATAAATTTCAAAGATTTAACCCGCCAACGTGAACATATCTGTGTACATGTAGTTTCATTCAAAATAAAGTGTTACGTAACCTTTACAAATTGCCCTTCGCAACCATATGTTGCAGCCTTGTTGTCTAGCAACTTGAGCACCAAATAATTTTATGAAAATCTGCATATTGTGGATTTAAATCTATGAATTGCTTCTGCCAATAAGTCTGCCAACCCCCCCCCCCCCCCCCCCGGCATGCTGGCAGTATTTATACAGTCGGTTTGTAAGCACACTTTTCAGTTTACCTGACCAAAATCAGGAATGACCTCATTTGACCCCCAGATAATCTTTGATCTGAAATGTCTGAAGCCATCTGAATTAAGTCCCCCTACCCAAAGATTGTCACCAAGCTTGGTCAACATTGAAGTCTTAACATTTTTATGACAGCACTTTTCAGTTGACAAACCAAAATCAACAATGACGCCATTTGACTGCCAGATGACCTTTGACCTCAAATGTCTCAAGTCATCTTAAGTCCCCCGCCCGAAGATTATTGTCACCAAGTTGGTCGAGATTGAAGTCTTATTTTTCATATGACAGCAATAAACAGTTAACCTAAATCAAATATAACAAACATGCACACATACATACATGTACATGTACATACATGTACGGACATACAAACTTCATTCTTATAGTTGCGGGGACATGAACACTCGTCTGAACGAGGTATATGTGGGGACTGAAAAAGCTGTGGGAACAGCAGGAAGTCCCCATAACTCGGTCCTACTTTGCCTAACAATAAAAAACATTTCCCAATAACGCGGTGAAGGCCTACCCACACATACAGACATACAATGTACACATTAGGAATACGCTATCACAATATAAAACCCTTCTGGCTTCAAAGCAAGGGGGATAGAAATGGGTACCAGTCAGGGCAGAGATGGTTAAATGTGTTTGATACAGTATTTTAGGTTATTCAAATATAAAAGTACTCTGATCTTATTCAAATCAATAATTCAACACAGTTTACCCATTCCTATTTGTCGAGAGCCCGTCATGTAGCCGGTCTTAAAATAAAAGGTCTTATTTTATCATGAAAGTGTCAAACAATTACGGTAACTTAGGCCTTCTGTCTTATTTCTCTCCCCGTTTCATGGTAAAAGCATGCCTGAAAACAACGTTAGCAATACAGGTCAGTTTGATATTTAAAAATCTTGGGTTGGTTTATTTTTCGGGAAGGGGGATGCAATGTCACACTCCCTTCACCATTGCTATATGACGTCACACTATAGTCGTGTTCCCTAACGTGGCGCACTTCGAAGCTTACCCAAATTTCCTCGAGTAGTGTTGCCAAACCTCTTTGTTGACAAACCTCAAATTCATGCAGTGAAATACTGGTACTTTTACCTTATTAATGCTTGCTGTTTAACCTCTGTGAACAATTTCAGTTTCATAAAATTTAAGCCGAAATTAAAAAACGGTGGCGTCCGGAAATTGGGCACAATTTGGCGGAGTGTTCCCTAACGTGGCGCACTTAAATAAATCTCGAAAAATTCCAAATTAACATTTAAGAATTTCTGAAAACTTGATAAATTCTGATAAATCATTATTATCTCTACTTACATACCCAGCCAGATGTTTGTCACAAAATTATTTTCTTATTTTTCGGGGCATTTTCAAAGGGTTCACTTTGCACTTGAAAATAAAATCAGAAAATCACTCCAAAATCTTTTTTTCTTTTAACTTTGTAGCGGGTAAATAAACTCGCGATTTATGAACGGGATTGTTTATAACTTGATGAAAGTTCACTTTCTGTGAAATTTCAGTTAAAACTTTTGCTCTAGCTAGGCGCTACAGGCGAAAAATCAAAGTGCGCCACGTTAGGGGCCGCGCCACGTTAGGGTACATCAACAATATTGTTATAAGTGTGGAATTGGAACTACGAACCTGTTACACTGGCCACAAAGTGTGGATTCGGAATGACGAATCTTGAGTAAAGTGTGGATTCGGAATTACGAATCCACACTTTGAATATGTCAGACATTTTTTCTTGATACTGAGCATAATAATAGGACTGTGTGCGTCAAAACTTTCCTTCCGAAAATTACCAATGCATCTTCACTGTCAAATTCTCTGCCGTCACTGCAAAAACTACAGCAAGTCAGAAAAATCGTCGTCTGAACTACCGGTATCCATGTTGATGGAAGGAGCCTACACACAAAATGAGTTGGTTGTACGCGTGTGGCGATTCACATGCTAAACACGCCACAATGTTTGATTACTCCCTTGTAAATACCCTAATGGCCATGAATCAACACGAGATATGCAAGTCTTTTCATCTCCAAGTCGAAGAATACACTCGCAAGTGTGGTTTCTAAATTTACAAATTCACTCGGCGCTTCGCGCCATGTGAATTCTTAAGTTAGGAATCCACACTTTCTCGTGTATTCTCCTTAACAGAAATGGCCCCAGACATGGATTTAGGTCGCCAAGTAACAACGGTTAGAAGTCAGCAGGCGTAGTTTCGAGATGCTTTTGAACACTTCTCCAAAAAGCCCTTTTGACTAATTTCCTGGCAAGTGAAGCGGGACCATACAAGCTGAAGACACACAAATTCATACCCCAGTGGGTCAAGTCCATGAATATACATAACCCTGCTGTCTTCTTGGTGGATGTCACGAATGATGGTGTTTGGGGATCTTTTCACACTGATGGCAACACCGTACATTTGTTTTTGCTTGTTTCCTGACCAGTGCCAATCATAGATGATGGGTTTCTCTCCGATTTTCTCTGCGTTAACTGACAGATTGCCAGTTTTTAACCTTCTGAATTCTTGTACTGCCACGATGTCAATTTTGTGGTCAGCACATAGGCGCGTGAGAGTAAGTGTCATCAGTGCAAGTTCAACGTTGCAGGAGCCGGTATACCAATACACTTTTCCCTTGGAACTATGCGCCTTTGCATGCAGGGGATTGTAGGTATTTTTCAGATCGTACATTTTGGTCTCGCGTGTCTGTACAGTTTCAATGTTCCTGTTCTGTGCTTGTAACCTTTGGACTGAAATTGCCTTCCACCGCTGTGACCCGAGTTTGAATCCCACCTGAGCCAATATGTGGATTGGGTTTTCAGTCCCTACCTGATTCCGTGGGTTTTCCCCAGAATATTTTCTGGGCTTTTCCTCCCACCTCACTGTAATTTCTCCTGCTTTTTAGTAGCAGGAGGTCGTGGGTTCGAGTCCCACCGGAGTGATTTTTTCCAACTTTTACTCGGGAGGTAACACACTGAGTACACGATGTTAATACAACGGTGATGGGCAAAACCGAATTTGATTTACATCAGCCCGACCCAAAATTCCGTCTT